CCACACTCTCCAGCTTAGAAAACAGGAAAAGATGCACTGGTGCAAATCTGTAAAATCATTAAGAACCATTTCCCCTTTTTTCCCCTGCCTTTTTTTTTTTTTTAATTGGGATGTGACTTACTAGCATTACAGTCCTGCAGAAAAAAGTGAAAGACAGAGTTCAATTAACAGTGCGTTGTTCAGGGAGGAGAAAAAAGGGAGTTGAATTCGGAGCATTGCCTGCTGCAAGGAGTAGGTTTAACTTTCAGTGAACTTGTCTGGCTGGGTATAGTTATCCTTGTCTGTGTGCTTCAGGCAGGTTGATGTTTAGCCTCAGTAACTAGTTCAGATACCCGTCTAGCCCAAGCAAATCTTGCACTTATCAAGGTTAACGCACAGACACATGCACACTTGCAGTGATTAACTCCCTGCAGGAATAGAATATGAATGTTCACAAGACAAAACGGCACTTAGAGACACTATCACAAAGGCTGATCCCATATGAAAAGACAGGGTTTGGTGTCAGCTGGGCGGCAGTGTACGCCCTCTATTTTCGCCATTTCTATAGTATCTGAATAATTTTACAGCTGAAGTATACTCTTGGGGGAAATCGCAGTATTTCTTTATATTTTTCTTTAATTGCCCACAAAAATTATGGACAGTGAGACTAATTTGTAGGTAACGAATGTTTTTTAAGAATCTCAAGACTGCGTGGGATAAATACATAAAAGTAGCGTATTTGAATGGCCCTACGCTTAACTGGTCAGGAAAATACTCACATGGACTTGTAGTGTTAGTGAGAAAACACCAAGTTAGCAAGTCTGAATATTAGACTAATTACCTGTCCACATATCTTATTTCTAATATAATTCTTTTCTGTCTGAAAAGTAAACTGCTACTTATGAATGCAGTGTTTTCTTGAAGTGTATTTGAAAGATTAGTTAATAATCTTGACACATGAATCCTGTTGCAGTCAGTTTTCACACACAACAGTAACATCATGGCAATGAATATCTAACTGTGATAATTTATTATAAATTTACTTATAAACAGAGGAAAATATTAGCAGTCTTCACAGGATTCTTTGCATATGAGAACTGTGGCCCTTTGCAAACTTATGGTATGTGTTGGTTTGTTTGGTTTTTAATGTTTGTGGCAGAGTTTCTCCATCAGATGCTGACTCCACAGCAAGTGAACAATCCAGTGGGAGAGAGACAGGAGAAGAAACTGCAAGACCATCAACTGTTGCAAACGAGGGCAAACCACGCAGAGCAGTGAAGAAGGGTTTGTCACTTTTATTTTATTGTGTGCACTAGCAGTATTTTTCTCAGGTTGAAGAGTTACTCTAGTGCTGTAGCTTTTCCAAAGTCATCTTTGGCTGTTAGTTTTTCTGGTTTGTGTCACAGAAAATTTTCTTCCTCTCTTTTTTGATCGAGTTTCTTCTGTTGGAACTGAAGATCTACACATTCCTTTCATTCCAGCAAGCTTTTGAAACTAATGGCTTTCCTCCTTTTCTCTCCCACACAACCCTGGCAAACCTCTTTCCATGTGGGCCTAATTGTGACTCTCGTGGTAGCAATCTTGCAGACAGTTCCATGGGCAGTAGAGGTCACAGCAGGACTTGATACAGAGTGGGTATATGTCTGTAACTTCAAAAAAGTGAGATTAGAACAAAAGGGCGACCAGAGAGGTAGAAGTTTTACAAATAAATTCTAATTCAGACATCAAAATGCCTTCATGATTGTGCTTTAGCAAGATGAAAATCCAGTGCTAATATGTTAATAACAGTGAAATTTTTTTGTAAAGAACCATTTTCCTTTCAGTTAAAGTGCCAGCATTTGTCATGGAGGTACCTTAAGGTACATTTCTTTCCTCATTGAAAAGTTGATAAAACACAGCAAACCCACTTTCATTTTTTAATTAAAGCGTTCTTTTAAATTCTTTTACTGTTTAAAAGTGTGTGGTTAGCTGTGCCTACACAAACACTGCGTTTTTTCCAAGAGCCTTTTGGGTTTAGATGGCTTGCTCCTTGCTTGAAGTTTTAGTTACCAGATCTTTGCCTTAAATCACGGGAGTCTTCCTAGAGAAAATTCTGATACTGAGTGAGTAACAGAGTTTGTGATATCTCCATCTGTTCTTAATACACATGGCCTTGATGGCAGCAGAAACTAAGAAGAAAATACTGATCACATTGTGAGCAGTCTCTTTGGTATATTGAATGTTTTTTCACATACTTTGTGAAATATCAGCTGAGATGTAAAGGTGACTGCTGAGAAACAGTGAAATTCAGATCATAGCAGACAATCTTCAGGTTTTGCTTATGTTGAAGAAGTGAGATTGAGGAATATGTAAGATAGTTTATATAAACTGCTAGCGCTTGGGTGGCTAAACAGCAAGTTAAATAATGTATGATTCTTAAACTTTCATAATGTGGACTCCTCCTGGGAGAGCAAAGGTGATGGAGCAGGCTTTCTTCTGTAACGATCACGTAAGAAAACAAAGCACAGGATCTGCTAATGTGACTAGGAAGTTATACTTCATCATAATTCAGCAGGCAGCGTATGCTGTATGTACTTTACACAATTTACAAAAAGAAGGTACTGTACTGATGCTATCTATATATGTTATCAATGCCTTAAGTTTGCTTTAAGGACCAGAAATCATGCCGAAACAAATACATAGGAAAGCAATTATGCTATGACAGAACTCATCTCAGGATCGTTTATGAGTTGCTCCAACCTATCTGACTTCAATTCTGTTGCCCTGATTTAGTGATCTCCCATTTCTGCTGACTTGGGAGCTCCATTTTTGTCTCTTCGTTTTCCATCTGGCTCAAAACTTTATGTACAGTTCAATATTTCCTTTTGGTGTAGAAGCGTTAGGTATTGCTGCGTCTGAATTATCTGGCAAAGGCACCATGGATATTGTGTAAAAAGTGTCCTTCTTACCTATCATGCCCTTACTCGATCAAATATAGGTCTTTATTCAACATTTGGTGCCTCTAGTTTGGTAATCATAGGGACTATTGTTTGCATTCAGAATTGGAGACACTGTCTGCAGAGAGCTCGCTCTCTGTTAAATGGCAGATTCAGCTTCCTTTTTGTGCAGCTGAGCCTTGGCAGTTTGATCCAAGTTTATGCATTTCATTCAAAAGTAAATGCAGTCCTCTTACTGCCGTTTTTTTTTCCAGTTGCCATTCCAGCTGAATTATTTGTAATAATTACTGTGTTGTCTCTTCTTTTTCCTTTATGTTGTCAGGAGCAAACAGAGTGGGTAAGTAACCAGAGCTCGTAGTTGAGTACAAATGTGAATGGAGGTGCTGGGGTAGCTGCAATTATATCTTAAGGATGGAAGGATTTGTTTTCTGAGTCTAAAAAACCAAAACTGCTTTTAAGCTATTGAAGTATAAAAAATTCTCAATAACACCAATTATAGTCATCCAATTTAGGCACATTTTTCTAATTTCCTCTCAATTCTTTCAAATTATTGAGGAAAACATCACTGTGAAAGAAGCAAAACTGAGGCAGCTGTTGGTCCTGAAACTAGCTTTGTATAAACAAGTTAGAGATATTGTTAGAGTTAGTGTCTTTACTGGAAGCTAGAGACAAACGCAGCCTACCTGCAAAGAAGCACAAATATTTTCTCATGAACTAGTGTTTTTCTGGTCAGGGCTAAGACTTGGCAAAGATGAGGCAGGAGAAAGTTGACACTGTCTTTGATAATGCATGCCATACCTAGTGATAAATTAAGGATGGTGTCCTCTAATAGCATTTTCCATCTTCTGATAGTAGAGAAGGATGGGTATAATGCTGATTATGATGCTTTCCATTGTTGGGCTTGTACAAGTAACTAATGAGTCATCAGAGGCATCCTGGGGACGTAACCTACTGGGATACAAGGAAACAGTGTGAAATTTATCTGAAACTGCATACTCTGGCATGATTCGAATACCAGTGGATCAGTGGAAGATTCTCATTGGTGTTACCTGATTTTGGATTAGGCTTTGTGCACCTTGGTCGCTGTGTCTCTTTTTATTTCAAGAAGGTGCAGGAAGCAATAGCCTTCCTCTATCTCCAACTGTATTGGGTTTAGTATGAAGTCATAGCTTCCTGCAGAGCAATTAATTTTCCTGACATGTACTGTTAGGACAAGGGGTAATAGCTGGAAACGGGGAGAGGGCAGGTTTAGACTAGATATAAGAAAGCAGTTCTTCACCCGGAGGGCAGTGAGACACTGGAACAGGTTGCCTAGGGAAGTTGTTGATGTCACCTCCCTGGCAGTGTTCAAGACCAGGTTGGATGGTCTAGTGAGAGGTGCCCCTGCCATGGCAGGGAGGTTGGAACTAGATGATCTTTGAGGTCCCTTCCAACCCAAACCATTCTATGATATGATTCTATGATATGATATTTCAGTTCAATTAGTAGTTTCAACCCAGGGAACAGTGATGAACTTGATCCTGACATGTGACCTGTATGCACGAGTTGTTTTAAAAGTGTCTTGTCCAGTATTTGGGTATTAATTCCTCTCCATTATTTTTCAGCCTCAGATGTCTAGTCTGAGATCAAAATTTCATTCTTATAGTGCTGATAGCTTTATAAGGCAGATTTTCTAACCATAGACAATAGTGTAATGTAAGAACTTTGAAATGAGAAACCATTCTTATTCCCTCTGTCAAAACTTCTAAAGGAGCTTATTCAAGTGTAGTATGTGTACAGCACTGTGCAGTTCCTGGCTTTCTTATCTACTTTACTATACTTCCATCTTGTTTTGTGTTTATAGACACATTCAGTGCATGCACACAGAGAGGATTTAAAGGTCAGATGCAGCTTACAGGTTGTCTGTGTGTGCGCGCATCTTTTCTGCAAAGAGAGTAACATATGGTGTTACTGTAGAGCCTTACCAAAATTTGACAGTGGGACTTTTGGACAGTTTTACAAAATGAGTTTAAGAACCATTTCAGCTAAGAGGGCTCTGCCAAACACTTGTTTATGTGTGCAAAAGGAGAGGTTATGGATGAAATTGTAAAGATTCAAAGTTGAATGCTCACCATAATTGAATATATTTGACCTTGCTAACCAAGTAATATGAAAATAACCTAAAAATTTTGTATTGGAGATCAGGGAGCTTTGAGAGCTGCTGTTAGACTGGAAGGGATGGAAAAAGTGATTAATATATGGGGAAAACAGGAATGATGATGCAGAAGTTCAGATTTCCATTGTGCTACAGGATTGTTCTGAGGGATTCACACTGACTGCTTAATATATCTCGTGCCCCTCTCTGTGAGAGGTAATGCTTGCATGCTTTTAAGAAATGCGTGAAGATGGGGCTGTGAAGATGACAAATTGTAAAGATCACATAAATAGCTACAGAAGAGAGTTGGATATATTTCATTTAGGCTCTGTGTCTTGCAAAACATTTGGGACACAGAGATCTTGAGTGGAACAGTTTACCTTCTTTTTAAGGACGCTTATACAGGAAAGATCAATGCATACCATTTACAAATGTGTACATTTGACAATGCATTGATCAAGTTCGAGAAATATGAAAAATAAGAATTTTGCTTAGCTTCTGGCCAGATTGCTTTCCAGCCCAAAAGTAATGTGCTGTGAATGTAATAGTGTACCATACCTTCACTATCCTGCTCCCTTTTTGTGCTAGGAGATGGAAGCAAAGGAGCACATTATCTACTGTGACCTTCTACATCAGATAGCATTCACTCTGCTTCTGAACCGTGTACTTTATTACGAGCACATGTTGCAAATGGACCAGAGCAGTGGCTGTTTTCTTTTCCTTCTTATCTATTGGAGTTGGGTCAGGTTGATCAACAATTGATTCTGTGTCGGAATCAAATCAGATTCTCCTTCTGATTTGAATCTGAGAACCACAGCCCATTATTAGAAGTCTGTGCAAGGATGTGGAACTACGTCCCTCTACTCTGTTGTGTTCCTCTGTAAGAAGAGTCTTAAATCTTAATCTCTTATTGCTTATATTTCACGGTGAAAAGCAGCTTGAGAATTTGTGGTGTTTCTATGTGGACAAGATAAAAGATGATATTGCAAGTCTTCAGTAGTTTTTGCAAGCCCAATCAACAGTTCTTCTGGTAGGCTTAGCTCCAGCAAAAAATACTCCAATATATGCTTAACTGCAAACCACTGGGGTGATCCTGCAGAGTTCAAGTATTTTGAGGGAGATGACCCATTTCTGTTGAAGTGATTAACTGTTGGCAGGACCAGGGCCACAACTTTCATGTGTATTGGTTTCTGTAATGTCTTTTGCTGATTGTATTTGAGTTGATTTAACCTCTTCAGCAAATTACGATGTGGCAATATTTGTGCAGCTTGCTTATTACCGTGTGAAATGTTTATCCTGTCACAGGGAAGAAAACAGTGCTTTGAAAGCTTTCATCAGTAAAACCTCTGTAAAATTCTTTGTGCTTTGTGTGGATTTCTAAGGGTTTTTTTTGTTTAGTTCATATATCACTCCTATCACTGAAGAACTGCGTTTTACAGCTGGGACATCTTTTATTGCTCTTTGAACCTCCATTTGAGGAATTTGCATCTCCTTAAGTACTGATAATAAGAAGCATTAACAGTATGTACTTGAACAGCTTTTTATGGAATAAAGTAGATTGAGATTTTGGGGGTTTGCAAATGCCAAGAGGATTGATTTACAGAAATAAAGAATGACAGCTCACCTTCTGGAAATATGGAAAAATGTTTATAATTTGCAAACCACTGGGTAAACTTGTGTGCTAAATGTGAATCAGCTGGAAGGCCTATAGGGCAAATTAAACACAGATGGAAAACATGGCATCGTCTTGTAGCATAGCATCTGTAGAGCTTAACATTTGACTGAGATAGTCCTAGCAACACTACTCTGTTTTTGGTGATTTAGGACCTCCTCAGACCAGCAGTGGAAATGAGCAGCACTCCTCGGCCTCTATCTTTGAACATGTGGATAGGATGTCACGTTCCTCAGATGCCAGCAGGCGAGTCCCAAGCAAAATCCAGCTGATTGCTATGCAACCGATGGCAGCACCTCCAGTTCAGAACTCAGTGCTTTCTGATCGAGTAGCAGAGACCAACAAAATTAACAAAGAGGTATTTTTAAAATGTCTTGAATGTTTGTGGACGACTGTATGCCCAGCCAAGAGGGAAGTGAGAAGTATCCAGTTTCTTTTTATCAGGAGTTCCTCCTTAGTTCCTGAGGAGCTGAATTTTGAGAAGTTACAGGAATAATCCTGTTTTCATCCAGAGAGATAATTTGGCCTGTTTTTAAGAGATACCTAAACCAAAACTTAAACATTGAGAGGGGAGCAAATTTGGTGGTCAACTTTTGTTACCATCCTTTTACTAGTCAGCAGGACACAACTTAGGAGAGTTGTGTTAATTAATCTGTGAGAACTGGAATGTCTGGCCCACCTTGGTTTTCACTCTACACCATTCTTTTGACTTCAGCAACTCAGGATGTGGGTTATACAAACATATTATCTCAAGACATTCTGGGGTGTGAATTTGCAGCACGTTCGTTGCTTCCAACTTCTGATGTGTTTACCTGACTGTAAACATACAGAAACTTCCTGATGTCTCTGAGGCTCAGGTTATTGTAAGCAGAATATGAACATGCCTGGGGCATTAGGCGAGAAGGTAATGTGCTGTAAAACCACATCATACACTGCCTGACAGTACCAGGTACCAGTAAGATGGCATCTCCTCGTAATTCAGAGTGGAAGATTACTGAAACCTTTAACTTAACTGTGTTAAGATACTGTGTTTCTGAGTACCTTACAGAAGACAGGTTACAGAACCACAATCTGATTATATGGGCAGAAGACATCTAACTCTAAATGTGAAGAGTATGTCTGGCTTGGGTCCCTTTTATGCTTTTTTGCAATTTTCATGAGAGAATACACAAAAATAAATTTTTATTTGGTATTTAATTCGCTGCTGCAGATGTGTTGCAGAACAAGTCCAGCACAGGCAGAGCAGCTGTTGCTATCTGTCTGGTACCCAACTGTTTTCCATTGATAAGAAAGATTTCAGTGAGCGTTGGGCCAGGACTTTAAAGTGTGGTGTTTACAACAGCTTTCCCCAGATGTACTCCAGGGAATTTGAAAAAAAAAGGTGGGAGAGAGGCATGAAAACTCAGCCTGCAAGAAGGTGTAGAGCTGATAACGCCGTGTTCATCTAGGGACCTGGGCCCCTGTTTTGCTGCTATGTTTCTGCATAGCTTATGGTGGCCTCTCAGCAAAGGCACAGAGTTATGAGCAAAATTATCTCTTTAAGTTCTTGCTTCTTACGTGATGAAGATCATTAAAGGAATGGGTTACAGACTTCAACACTATTGATCAAATGTATTTCTGTTTGACAAGCAAAGGTAGATACAGCCTGTACTGATTAGTCTTATTTTTTCAGAGCAGTGTCACTGCTGGCAGACAGCAGGAGTTTTTCTTATTCCTCCTGCCTTTTGTTAACAAACTGCCACCTCTCTCTAATAGCACCTGCTGTGCTGGCAATTGTATTGTGTATAATAGTACATCTGCCTGGGGGGACAGTGGGGATACTGCAAAATATCCAAGAAAGAAGGAGTGTTTATGAATTGTGTGCCTTATTTTAATCCTTCCGAGATTTGGGGGAGGGAAGGGGAGGGGGCTGAGAAGGAGAGGTTTATGGACAAGCAGCAAAAAATTCTGTTTGCAAAAATTACAAGTGAAATGTTGATTATTTTTTTTGCCCCCTCCTTCTTTAAGATACAAACAGCCCTGAGGCATAAATCTGAGATCGAGCATCACCGCAATAAGATTCGTCTTCGCGCCAAGCGCAAAGGGCACTACGAATTTCCGGTGGTGGATGATGTGGTGGTTGTTGACTCCAAAGAACAGCACAGAATATATCGCAAGGCACAGATGCAGATTGACAAGATCTTGGACCCTGGAGGCAGTGTGCCTACTGTCTTTATAGAGCCCAGGAAGAGGTAGGGATTTCAAAGATAGGAAAGAACAAGTTTATTTTAGAGTCAACGTCCAGCGTACATCAAACCTGTACTTTGGAACTTTCAGAGGATCAAATCATTTTGATCACTGGTTGAATTTGAGTCATCTAGGTGAAAAGGTTTGGGTTGTTCTAAACATTTTTATTTGTTTCCATGTATGCCACTATGTTTTGTTTTCAAATTATTTTTTTACAAGTTTTCAGCAGAGAGTTCTTGATAAATAAATCCAAATGTATGAAAAATGTCTTAAAACAATGTAGTATTTGCTTGCATTTGTTTGAATACTTGTAAGGTGTAGAGGGATCAAAATTGTAATATAAGCACTGAAAAAAGAGACACGGAAAATATGAACTGCAAGAAATAATATTTTTACAAAGGGGGAAAAGATGGAAAATAAGGAAACCCTTGAACAATTTAAAAAGCATGAAGATTCTGAATTTTAAAGACAAGTTCACAAATCAATGAGAACTTTTTATCTGTTCCTTTTGGGTCATGAGTCACATTTGTCAGCCTCATGGATCTGCCTTCTTGGCCTTGTATTTTCAGCAAAAATCTTCCCTGGGCTATGTTTAGGGCTGTTGAATACCGGCACTTTGTCCCTGGAGCACTAGTGCCCTATAACTGCTTCCACACTGATAGAAAGTAGCTTTTCTTCAGCTACATGGGCTCCTCATCTGGTTTGTCTGGTAGGGTTAAACCCATGATGCCAAGCGCAAAGCCTTGTTGGCAGCGTGTTCTGTTCTGCTACTGGAAATGTGTCAGACGTTGGTCTGGGAGGTCTGGAGAGGCACTGTGAGTGGGGCTGGAGCACGGACAACTTTGAAAGATGAATGTAGAGGGGAGGTGACACTGGAGCGAGTTTGAGGGAGGAATGGGATGGTTTGGAGAGCTGCCAATCAGTGTTATTGGAAGCTTGAGGAGAGAGATTTAAGGCTAACTAGTGGGACTGGCATGAAAAACTGGGAAAGGGAAGAGAAACAGGTCTGAGGCAAGGATGACTTGGAGGGAATGTTCAGAGGAGTTCAACCTTGAGTAGGATAAGAAAAATTGGAAAAAGAAATGTGATTACCTTTGTTTTCTTTCTTTTTTTCTCTCTCTCTGCTTTTTGTTTTCTTCCTGTTAAGTTCTCGTGCAAAACGTTCTCCCAAGCAGCGCCGGCGACATCAGATAAATGGTAGTCCGATTGATGCAGAAAAGGACAGGTTAATCACAACTGACAGTGATGGGACATACAAAAGGCCTCCAGGAGTCAATAATTCTGCATATATTGTATGTATGTCTCTTGAATGACAGGAGTGTTCTGATAATTTTAATGACAGTTGTGACATTGGGGGGTTTTCGGCCTTCTGACTGGGTTCTATCTGGCTAGTTTCAGTCACGTGTAGTTAGCATGAAAATCAAAGTGAAACAGGGATTTCATTGTCAGTCTCAGCATTAAGCAGTACAATTCTGCCAAGTATTCCTTGATATTAAAGAAGCTAAGAACTAAAACCTTGTTTTCGTTAATGCCACTGCATTAAGCACATGAAAGTGTGCTTGGCATGTTCCACAATCTCTTGAATATAGTTTCACTCTAGTCCAATTTGCTGGATGTTATGTATTTGTACGTTACAAAAAATTTAGTCCTTTGCTTTCGCAGGGTGGAAGACTCAATTCCTTTAATGAGAATTTTTCTCATCTTTAAAATGTGGGAATTAATTATTAATGAAAGAGAAAGATGTCTTTGTACTACAGTAACTTGTAACAGTTCTAGTACAGTGTCTTGAAAATTAATTTTGTTTCCTGTCTAAAAAAGGCAAAGACACTGGAGAATGCTTCTGTTCAATCATATCCATGTCACAAATTGTATTTAGGCATCTTTAACCACCTCTAAGCAGACTTTAGTAAGCCTAATGCTAATATTGGAAGCCCCTGGACAGTTTTCATCTTGAAAAATGGTTTAATAATTTCAAGAATTTCAGCATTAGCTGCATATGCAGTCAGGTGGCTACAATGTCGATTTCTGCGGTTTCCCTCTGCCTTCAAACAAGAGTGTGATGATTTTACTGTCATGCTGCAGCAGAATGAATTATCATCTGAAGCTGTTTAATTAAGACATGTCACACAGCAAGCTTAGCCCCTTTGGCATCTGTAGTGAGACAGTACTTGGAATGCTAAGTTCCTGATGAAGTAGAGGCTTTTGCATCTTGGCGACTGATTTTGCAGTCTCCATGCAGTGGTAAGAATGAGCTTTGATAATAAGTCTGCTGCTGCAAAGCTCGTTTAATTTTCTGTTACTGATGAACAATAAGCCCACGTGGTAAGATCCCAGATAGTAATTGCGATGCATGCCTCAGGTATTGCTGCTGTGAAGCACTTCTATGAATGCCATTCATATAATGCACCCAAGTTCAAGTTCCATGCAGGTAACCACTTAGTTGATTAACAACTCCCTTTGTGTGTTTTTCTAGGAGGTAATAATTGTTTAATATTACTGCTGATGTGGTTAGTTGTAAGCTAAAGACTGAATTAATTTCTTGGAACTGCAAAAGCTGCAGAGAAGTCAAAGATGTAGACAGAGCTGATTGTCTTTTTCTGGGTGGAGTAAATGCTCTCTGCATGCCTTCATTATGTGCTTGTAAACCACAAGATTTCTGTTATAGCTGAGTAACTCCTGCACAAAGCTCCGCTGTCTTATCTGAGATGACAGTCTTTCAGATCACGCTGAATGAAGTATTTGAACAGCTGGTGTTATGTGTGTGCATGCATATGTGCGTACAGAAGTGGGGAGGGTAAGGGGCGGATTTTGTCCAGCACCAGCACTTGTAGCGTTTATCTCACAGTGGTTTTAGCAAAGAAAATGTTGCTCAGGCTTCAGCCCCACAGGGGCTTGGAAGCTAGTTGGTTAGATCTTTTCAGTGGCTGCCCTTCGCCTTCTTTCTGTTTTTTTCCAGTCTGATCCAGATCTGCCTCCTGAACCTCAGACATCATCTTCAGCTGATCTGGGGAAGTTCCCTGGCTTGCCTCCCCACCCAGTCTCCCAGTACGTCCCACCGCAGCCATCCATTGAAGAGGCTCGGCAAACCATGCATTCGCTGCTGGATGATGCTTTTGCGCTGGTGGCTCCCAGCAGCCAAGCAGCCAATTCCACGGCAGTCACGCCACCCGGGGTCTCTGCAGGACAGCCGGTAAACAACACTCCTGCTCGAGCAGGGAGGGGAACCACATGCACCCAGTGGGGATCACCTTATGGTCCAACTCAGGCAGTAAACAACCCGTTTAATGTGAGTGATGCAATTTAAAAGGCTTTTCTGGGCAGGTAGTTAACACCAGTTGAGCCATGGTCACTGTTATTGTGCCCTTGCTGTCAGGACTTGTCACAAATGTGGAACAGTTTCTGGAACCAGGAGCATTCAGAAATGACCGTCACAGGACAGTGAACTTGCTTTTTAAGCCATTTGGATTCTTTTCCCTTTTCCCATCCCAACCACAAGAGAAGACAGAAGTTCTCCTTTAGGATAACTTTTCTGTTCTTCTCAGTTACAATCTTTCACAGATCAGTCTTGTTATGTCTAAGAGTAAAAACTTCTTTTTTTTTTTTTCTTTTTACAATATATGCGCTAGTTTATATTTTGACAATGAAAAAACTGTCATATTTTTTAGCAGAATATCCAAATGCTTAAAGGAGGAGAGGGATAGGGAATCAATATTTCTGTATAATTTTTTGCATTTTATGGAGCACTGAGACACGCAGATAATCTTTTAAGTCATCTCAAGTTCCTCAGCAATTCAGTACAGGTCTCATAATGCCATTGGACTGTTGAGTCCAAGCTCCATGGTGTCTCTGCTGCAGTCTGATGCTGGTTGAGGTATAGAGATTCCCAAAGGCAAAGCCTCGTTTTCTGAAAGTTTTAAGTAGACATTGGAGCCACCCTTGATCTCCTGCAAGTGAGAGAAAATATTTCCGAAAGGTGTTTAAGTTAAGACTCTGATCAGGCAGAATAGACTGCTAGCCCACTGTAGCAGTGATTCCCAGATCTTCTTGTGCTTCTGTGTTTGTAAAATTGAACTGTTATGGCTGCAATCAAGTCACATACACAGGCCTAGTGATCTCTGCCGTTCGTCACTTAAAAGGCTGACAGTGGACTTCCCAGGGTATGCATTTGGATTTTAATTTCAGATTTTTTGGTTTTCTGACAGAGATACGTGGAATTTGGAATGACTCCGCCAACAGCACCAGGTCTCCTACCAAGGTAGCTTTTTACTGATAGAATTATCATTTAGTGTTTTCCTTGCAATTCCTTTAGAGTTCTTACTGGCACTAGTGTATTATTATGCCAAGTACTTTATAAATGAGAAGTAACAGAAGTCCAGATCCAGCCTGTGTAGTTTATTTACGTAGCATGAATGACATAGGCATGCTGTGTGGAATCCAAGCCTCCATTTAAAAGAAAGGTATCTCTGTTCCCTTGGCTGTAGAGATATCCTTCCAAATATTGAGTAAACCACTGAGTTTCAGCTTTCAGAGAGCCTGAAACGGTTACTCAGATTCATGTAATTCTCCCAATACTCTCTCTTTCATCTTGTTTCGGTAGCCTCAGGGCAACACTCACTCACAAAAGCTTTCAGATGACTAGCAGATTCATTCTATTTTTAACCAAGTTGAGAACAAATTACAGAGCATGGTGACCCTCACAGAGGAAGCCTGCCTTGCAGGGCTATTATTATGAAATTGAGGAGGGGAGAGAACAAATTTTCCGTCTTCCTGGCCTCGCTGTGGGAGAATCATGTAAAGAGCAGAAAACAGTTGTCCAGGTGACTTAATTCCACATTTGGTGTCTGTGCTGCTCTCTCATTACCTTCTTGCAGCCCACCATGTGAGGTTAAAACCCACTGGTATCCATGTTGTTCATTAGATTTCACCTGAAGTCTTCACTGCCTTGGAAACTTGATGGTAAAATGGGTATGAAAACCTTTCCTGTATCCATTGTTCTGCAACCTGATTTTGAAAGGACCAACTAGAAAAGGAGTAGTCTCTAAGCCCATTTTCTTACTTAGGTCTTGGCTGAAGGTAACAGTTTCAGTGCAAGTGGAGAATACATGAAATGGCATGCAGTATGACAAGCAGCGTGTTTTTTTGTAATTTAGGTTACCTTGAAGATGATGAGCTTTAAGACTGCCAACACAAAGCATAACCAATTGGTTTTTGTTGAGGATTTTCTCTTTGGCCTGTTAGCATTCAGGGAAAATGCGATAAATTAATCATGGAAGTGCTGTAACCCATATTAATACACCTGAGCAAGACAGTGTCTTTGCAACACACTTTTTATTCAAGAGCTTATCAACCTTTGGCATAGGCACTCTGGATTTCTGTAAGATAGAAATTCATGCCATCATTACTAATGGTTTGAATGCTGGCATTGTCAGCATTTGGACTTAAATCAGCAGATTTAAGTTAACAATCTGCAAGGTTGTTGACCTTAACAGGGAGAATTCCTTTAAATTTTCATTAAAATAGAAGGTTTCCTAAAGCTTGGTCAATAGAAAACAAGGAAGGAGTTATCAAGTTTGTGGAGCAGGGTTATGCCCAAATTCAAAAGATAATGATAAACAAGTTGATAGAAACAGTGCACCGATTAGTGGAGGGAAAAATAACCTGAGGTTTGTATGATTAGATGGCATATATCAGTGTCATAGTCCATTGCTTAAATATCCAATGCATGGAATAATAGCTGGGTGACCGTACTGTTCCCTTCTCCCTGTACAAATGCAGTCAGCATCTTTAATGGAGTGGAACCAACCTGGGTAAAAAAAAAAAAAAAAAAATTAAATGTAAAAGACCTGGGTCACATAACAGCTAGGCAAACATAAACGCACCACGAACAGCTTTTACCAGAAAATGAATATTGCATCATGCAACAGAGCTAGAGATATTTAGCTATAGTGGATTAGTGGTGTAAAATTGATTTTTGGAGCAGTATCTCCCCACTTAATTAAATAACTAGAGATTAATAGTTTTTTTGAATGTGCAAAGATAAATTGAAGGTTGGGTACCAGTCTGGAAATAGCACGGAGCACCAGAAAGCCTGTATCATACAGATTTAGCTGTATCCCATTTTTATACTCTTCTGTTGACCTCTGACTTTAAAGAGTAGCTATATCTCTCTGTTACAAAGAAGACTGAGAAGAGAGGGTGATGGGTTGTTAAATGTGCACCTTTCAAGTACAAACCCATCAGCACTAAAGGATGTGCTTCCTGTACTCTGAAAAATTGGCACAAAAATTATACATTTGCCTTAATGTTGAGAAAATATTTTCTTTAGACAGTATCAAAAAATGTAGTAATTTATCAGGTACAAGATTCCAGCTCAGCACTGCAGGCATAAAGGACGAGATGTTCACATCCTTTACTGGTTACTGTGATAAACATAACAGAAGTGATATTGTTAAATATTACCTACTCATTCAAGCATTTATTTTTACTAGCTTGTGAGTCTGGTTGGAAATGGATTCCTCTGGATCTGCTGAGCAGACAAATGGAATTATATGCAAGGGAGCTGGGGAAATTCTGACACTTCCACAATGGGATTGTTGCAGCTTGAACCCCATATACCTCCTCTATTTAATACTGTATGCCTGGTAGCTAGTACTTTAATTTATTATTAGTTGTTTGTGCTTTGTTACGCTCTTATTTGGCTTTCTTAGGCTATATATATTATTATGCCAACTTTCTTTTCTATCTGGTTGTCATACAAAGGTGTTTGGTTTTCCAAGTAAAGCACAAATCAATAATGGTTTTAATTAGATGCAGTAACGGGATTTTCCTGTAAAACAAAAGGGTGTAAACCTGAGGTCTTGAGGAATAGGATAAGTTGCAGTCCATGGTCTAGAAGGGCTTAGATGCCGATGTGGTAAAAGGCATATAAAACTCATCCCTATTCCTCACTTTGCGTAATTTTGTGTGCCTCCCTTAGGATGTTTGTCTCACTTCACTTCCTTTATAATCACCGGTGAGAGGCTCCTGCAGAACATGATTTAGTGAACCTAATCTTTTGCTTTGAATTCCTCTTGAGGAATGCGTCTCTCGTCTTTGATGATACTTGGGGTCTAAGAGAGACTAGCCTTGTAACCTAAGCACCTGAAGTTTGGGCATCCACGCCTCTGCCATATTGACAGGAATCAAAAAACTCAGCTGTCATCAGTCTTTTAAAATATAATGTCTCCATGCCAGGAGATATGTTAATAGGAAGCATAGAGAAGCATCATATCCATCTCCTTCTCTACTCCTGTTCTGTGAATGAATTATAGGGTTTCTTTTACAACTCCCATTACCTTGGCACAATTAGTGAAGTTAGACACATGACAGTTTCTGTTGTTAACTCTTTTCAGTAAATACATAGCTATAACAACTACCAGTGCCAGCCTGAATTACAGGAAACATTTCGTTTACATTGCATCTCTTCATACGTGCTAAAGATGGCTTTGAGTAGTTTGATGAATCTTAAAGAGCAGTTTTGAAAATCTTCTGAAAAATGGTCAGAATGCTTGATGAAATAATAATCCTTCATGAAATAGACATGTAATGTAGTTTGTATGGTTTGATTTAGACCAAAACTGTGTGCCCAGAAACCCTTGAGTGAAAAAGATTTGTTGCTGAGGTAAGCAGCTATGTCACTACTGAAGTCTTCTTTTTCTATGTATTTTTTTTTTCATTGAAGAGGCTTTTTTCCCCATGGGGAAAACAAGATCTGTGGACTTTTTTCTCTGCATGGAGGAGAATGCAACTTATGAAAAACACTTGTGTAAATTTTGTGAAGAGTTTCCAACTCCTATTCCTGTGCAATGCAGGTCATGAAGGAGGAATATATTCCTCAGGTGTAATTATTTTCTTTAACATTTAAGGTTAAAATGTACATTGAAAGGCATCATAAAGAGTTGTTTGAGGTACACTTGCATTCCTGTTTCTAATTAGGCAATTCACTTATTGTAATCTTGAGTCCTTACTTTTCCACAGGCAGAACTTTGGGCCAGGTTTTCTTCAACCTGCAGAGTTAATGCACCCAGACCAGCAGCCACCTGAGGTTCAATATTCCTCCAGAGGGATATACTCAGAGGAAATGCCATCAGTGGCACGGCCACGACCAGTCGGAAGCACTGCAGGTACACTTCACTTAAGTTGAATATGCGTTAAAATAACTGATCCGTTTCCGTATCTACTCTTACACTGAGGCCACCATTAAGGTGTCATTCTCCTTCAGCTGCTACAACTGAAATGTGGTCATTGTCTTCACTGCCAAAAAAAAGTGATCACAGAGTGAGGTTAACTTTACATCCATAGGACCTTGCAGAAAAAAAGCAGTGCTTTGCCACCTTGTTAGTATCTTACAAGCATTGCTTGTCACACAGTGTATTTTCAAAAAAAACCGTTCTCTAAGAATGGAAAATTACTTGTTTTAGAGCGTACAGTGTATGCTAACTTTCTACAGCCAACTATTTCTTTGGTGCTAAATGAGCTGACTGATGCATCCCAAATCAGCCTGCTAAATAGTAAATTTTTAATATACTTTTCTGCATCTTTTTCTCATTTCTCTTCCTAGAAATGTATGCATAGGAGCAGGATCTTGTAGCGTCTGATGATATTATCTATTGCTGCTGTCCAATATGAAATCACCTTCCCTGATTTGATTGTGGATAATTTCCATAGCACTCATCAATGCTATCAGGAGTAAGATTCGAACATCGCTTGGCAATTAAGCAGCAAACACTGATTCTAAGAATACAAGATTCTGTTCTTATGCAAATGCAGCCGTTAATTTTCTCCCAGAGAAATGTTTCCTTCCTGGGGAGTTGAAAAAGGATGGAAATACGATCATTTACTCATATCAGAGTCCTAGTTTTGATAGCTGCTATCTTCTCCTTGTAAATGTTAAGTGAATGAGAATGACAGGGATGTAGTGACTGTTACAGTTTATTATTGATTACTTTATTGTCTGATTCACATTATTCTCTAAATGTTCATGTATATTCTGCTTTAAAGTTTGGAGGCAATTCAGATGATGAGTTCCTGTCCTTCAGCATAATTACATGCAAATTTCAACCTTCTCAAATATTGGGGGTTTTTGAGAAGAAATTACAAAAGTGACCTAACTGTGCATCATGTAAATCACACTGTTGTTTTTGTCTTTTCCTCTGTTTTTGTACATACACGTGGACACACAGTTTTCTCCTATGTATCTGTGGGTTTATTAAATGTGTTTCATTTCTAATGAATAATAAAATATAATAATAAAAAGAATAAGAAGTGTTTCCCCGTGGGAGGAAATTTGGGAAAAAGAAAAGCTGGAATGTTGTTACATGTCTCTTGCAATTAATGGTGGTGGCTATCCTTGCATGTGTTTGAAAGCAGTGGGAGGGGAGGGAAGGGAAAGGAGAAAGGAGGAGTTTAGCTTTCAGGCTGAAAGGAGATACGGTGTGTTCTGACCTTCTCGTTAGTCAACGACAGCATCGTTTAATATTTAACCACAAAGCAAAGCTGAAAGAACCATACTCTTACATAGTCATGTATTTTATTCTTCTGAGAGATGGACTAGAAAGTAGTCTGGAGAGTTAGGGTCTTGCCAGTGTGATGTGAGTAAGGTGTACCACAGGAGCAAATGTCTTCTCTTTGCTGCTAAGTAATTTACATGAAAGCATTGCCAGGGCTTTCAGTAAATGCTGTTTGGAAAGGGCTGGCATATTTTTGGAACGAAGTGTAGTCCATGTCTGAGATGCATGTATCTCAACCTCTTCTTTCAGTGCAGTGGCAATGAAAAGCATCACACTCAAATGAACTGCACAAAATGCATATAACTTTTCCTTCTTTATTCTACACTGACAGCCTTCTTTCTGCTGATTTTTTTATTAATTGCACAGAAACAAAGCTCCACTTCTTATCTCCTGCTTCCAACAAAGTTTTATGTTGTCATTTGTCTGCCCTACAAACTTGACTGTGTATAAAGATGAAAAAACGATATTTGCTTTTAAGGTTCTCAGATACAGCACCTCACTCAGGTGGGAATTGCTAGCAGAATCGGAGGTCAACAAGTGGAGATCCCCTCAGGCAGAGCAGGGCATGGCCAGCCGGGGGGGCCAGGGTGGCCCCAGTACCGTGGAGAGGATGAATATGCTAGGCGAGATGCAGTGAGTACTGTGTTACACATTTGCATAGTTTCTGAAGTAGTGATATGTTCGGGTATTTTTTTTTCCTGCATTACTGTTTGGAACTTTTTCCCCCTGGAATACTTTCAGTTGCTTCTCTGACATACTTTGCTTTGCTCTTCAAACCCTCGTTAGCTCTTCTAACTTTTGCTTGCTGTTCTTTTACCTTTGCTTCTCTCTAACTGCTTTCTCTCACTTTACCCTAACCTTTTTTTTTTTCTCACTTGAGGCCTTCACCCATTAATTGCAGTTCACCCAGTTCTGCTTCTGAGCTCCAGCAGAGGTGGATACTGCTTTCCATTTTCTTCTTTGAAATATGCCTCTGTATTTTGAGATCATTGTAAGTAGAAAACATTGTATTAAATTGTCCCAGACTACCGTCTTACTTTGTATTGGTGTAGTTCTTTTGTCTTCTGTATCAGTGTGCAACAGCAGGGAGTCAGGACAAGGAAATAAGGTATATACTTGTACATAATAGCAGAGGTGTTTCTAAACAGTTATTTTCCTAGCCTCAGTCAGCAGCATGTGGTAAATTAATATGTATTCGTTTACCAGTGTTGCCTAGGCAGCCATCATGATTTCATGTTCTTGGCTGTGGTGCTTCTAGAGGCTGACGTTTCTGATTCAACCAGATGTATGAGGTTGAAGATAGTATATGGCCTTTCCAGGAAAGATACAGTTGCCTGCTACCAATCCGTGTCTGAGGTGCTTGCATCCTGAAGCCGACTGACCTGTGACAGCTTTATTGTAGTGCTCTTGAGAGCGACAACTTTATTCTCCTTCTTTCGCTCCTTTGCTTAAACTATCATTTTTCTGGTTTCTTCCTTGAGGGAGGAAGGAAGGATCTCCTTCTTTTGCATACTTAGGGCAGTGTGTGTTCACACTACTTGAAGTTGCTTTGCAGTATTGCATGATCTCAAAATGGCTTTGCAGAAAGGAAATGCAACAGGATGGGCCTTATCTTTAGGTTTGGTGAAACTGATCTGCCACCACTCCAAATGAACTTGAGAGGAGCGCCACAAAGCTTTTGAGAACTGGGCACACTAGAGACAAACTCTACTGATACTATTCAAAAGCTTTAACTGTCAAAGCCAAAAGATGTCTTTTCCTAATTTAACTTACTATCTCTCCTTGGGACACTGGTGTGTATGAGTGCAAGAACATCATACTTTCAGTTTACCTCTAGAAGAGCACTTGCATGAGAGATCTTAGTGTCTCTCCTGTTCCATTTTCAGAGGCATCTCTAGGTTACTATTCATTGCCCCTTATCATTTGTCTGTCTCTTCTGTAAATGACTTTCCTTTTCTCGATCTGTGGGCCTTTCCCTTCTGTCCCCCAAGTGCACCTTCAACCATTACTTTCTTAATATTTTATTACTTGAATTGCAAACATATTACTGAAAATTCCATTACGGACCCATTGTCTGAGATGCTATGCAAACAGTTGGTATTGACATCAGTTGCCTGCACGACTTTCAAAGATTCATGATCCAATACAGTATGATTTGGTCGCAGTTCGCACTTTCAGTCACCATTTCAGATGGGTAACATGTCACCTCGATCCAGGTTGATTTTCTTTTAAATAGCGTTTAAACACTTCTTCGGCCTTGACAGAACTTTTTCCTCAATGGTTGCTGCAGTTCATACGTAACAGAGTCACAGAATGGTTGGGGTTGGAAGGGACCTTTGGAGATCATCTAGTCCAACCCCTCTGCTAAAGCAGGTTCACCCAGAGCAGGTTACACAGCACTGCATTCAGGTGGGTTTTGAGTATCTCCAGAGAAGGAGACTCCACAACCTCCCTGGGCAGCCTGTTCCAGTGCTCTGCCTCCCTCAGGGTAAAGAAGTTTTTCCTCATGTTCGGATGGAACTTCCTGTGCTGCAGTTTGTGCCCATAGAGCACTGGATGTTACTGCAATGTGATTATTTTTTTTTTAGAGTGTTTTTGTTTGTTTGTTTTAAAGAAAAGAAAGAGGAGGAGATCATGGACTAAGACTATCTGAGTATGGTGTAATTTAGTTGTAGGAGAGTTCACCTAGTGCCTGCACTTTCCTTTTCCTATGAGGAATTCTTTCTTTTTTTTTTTTTCCCAAAGAATTATTCCCATTTAAAAGAAAAAAGGCATTATTAGGTGAGCCCTAGCAAAAATTCTTCCAACCTTTTTACTCTCCTTCCTTTGCTGTTGTATTTTAGTATAGTTTAGGTTTCTAAACCAATCTGGTCTTGAAAGTTCTCAGACCTGTTGAATTCTGATGTTATATATGAGATCACAGAAATACACACTTTCATTTTTCTAAGGTATACATATGAAAACTTTTATAGCCTTAATGTTAAAAAAACAGCCACTGCAGTCATCAGATGTTCTTCCTAACTTCCCTTAAGAAACTATTCTTATGGTGCTAATTCAGTGCAGTATGAGATAGGAGCTGAATCACATAATGCATTTTAATGCGAAAGTAACCTGAACATAATTTAGGTTGCTGTTAAGATTCATGTGTCAAGGAATGTTTGCTTTTAATATTTATGTCACCTCTTTTCTATAAACCCACAGAGAACTTGTTGGGTTTGCTAACTCTAGACTGCACATATGAATTAGTTTCAGGTTTCACTGCCAAATGAATAATTCTGAAAAATCAAGAGACCCATTCATTCCTTTCTGATACCAAAATCACCTCCCTTTTATAAGAGGTAATACAGGATGTTACTTGGAAAACCTTCTTTACCTATCATTCTTCTATTAAAGCCTCTTTTCCTTCCTCTCTCCCCAAATTAACCGTGTAAACAATGAGTGCTGTACATGAGCTGTGCAAGAGAGCCAGAATCTATTATTAGTTCTACTTCAGACAAAATGGCTTAGATTTTATTTATTTATATTATAAGAATTGTCAAGGAGCATACTCTTGTGCATTTTTGTGTTCCCTGCACACTGCTGCCATAGTCACCCTTGGTCCTCCATATCCCTCCCAGGCTCTGCTTTGTAATCCCTTCATTCCCTTCCCCCTCACTCCCAAATCCTCTTCTAGCTGACCTCGCTGTCCTTTCTTCCCTCATCAGATTGCTCTCTCTGCTACCACTTAAGGCTTATCCACTGAGAAAGTAAGGGCTCACTAAATTGTGGTAACTGTGACCTGAACTTGCTGCAGCTAGCTGCTCCTCATCCCCAGCGCAGACCCTTTGAAAGGGGATTACGCTGCTTTGCTCCCAGTTGTGTGTT